AGACTCTTGGCACTCTTAGGTGAGCAGACTTAGTCAGCCTGTGTTGCCCTAACACAACCTAAACATGGACTTACCCCCCTCATCATTGGCAGCCTCTGCTGCAATGTGCTGAGGATCTGAGCAGGTGAGATGATCCATTCAAGCTTTCAGATGACACCCAGTGACTGCACATACTGCATTCAAATCTTGATGCTGGGAACAGAAGTGATTGTGGGTGAATGTGAGTGGGGTGTGGCAATTGTGGACACCACAACATGGGTGACCAATGGCAACCCCATCTGTAATTGTGGCATGGATGGTAGCTGAGAGTGAGTCAGTGTGCTAGAGTTGGCATATGAACACCTCAACACATACCTTGTTGACCACTGTGAGATACCATGCACAAGCAGCCATCACATGCATGGGGATAGAATTCTTGGCCATGTCCTGCCATAAAAGCAGTTCTCTCCAACAGTGCATGTGTCAGTTGGTTGGTCTGTATTTGTTGCCATCCAGAGAGGTGTTCCGGAAGCACCAGGCCAGTTCCCTGCTCTGCATGATGTTTGAGAAGGCAATCAAGGAAAAATGTGTCCCAAACATGCTCTGGTCAGAGAGTAGGAGGAACAAATGCAGACAAAATTGACAAAGAGGGCCTTGGTAGTGCTGATTCATATATTCTTGCAACAGCATGGGCACTGGAACTGTTCAAATGATTGTCAGCCACATTATTACTTGGTTGATGGCTGGTTATCCTGGCCGGGACACCTGGCCAGAATAACTGGCCCATAATCTGGTTAAAAACTCCCGTTCTGGTTCACATGAAATGGAAGGAAAAGAACTTACTGAGCATGAACAAATTGCATTTTAAATAATAATGCCACAGATGCTTCCACCAAAATCTGGGGCTCTGCCTGCAGGACATGTGGCTGGCCAGAGTAGTAATGACAGCACTCAATGCCATCAGGATCACATTGCCGGCAATAATTGAGGTAGAAAGTGGAGCCACAATCTAGGAAATCTTTCAGGTGGTCTTCTATAAGTGATATGAAAGGTGCCACATACTTTTACATGCCAAGGAACTGACATACACAGGTAGAATACCACAATTCAGAGTGAGCAATGATGCAGGGTGCCAATGTGCATTGGCTAACCTTGGACAAGAAGGACAGGAGACCTTTGGGCAGGTTCTGAATGGTGGGAAAAATTCTTCACTGCCTAGAAGATAAGTTAAGACATCAATGGAGAAACCATGTGAAATGTGAACCTAAGTTGTGTAAGGCACCATGTGCAAGAATGGGCTGCAGCCTGTCAAACATGGCTTGGGAGGGTTGATGTCCAAACCAACTGTGCTGCCACAGCACAGGAGACAGTACTTCCCAAAGAGTACTAAGTGTGTCATGTCCCAGAAAAAGAACAACTGCCAGCAAATCTAGAATACGAGTGGGGAGTGTAGCAGGTGGATTGTCCAGCTGTGCTGGGTTGGGTTGGTGGAGCCAAGCAATGAGAGGCTGCCACTGATGAACAAGTAGAGCGAATGCCCATAGGGATTGAGCAGGGATCATACCAACTCAAGCAATATTTATTGTCAAGCATTGCACAAGTTCAGATAGTAGCATGATGTCCACTTCGGTCTGAGGTGTAGCTGGCCAGAACCCAGTTCAGCCAGTCATAGCAGTTACGCCAGTTACACTGTTTGGTTTGCTGCCTGAGACAGGTTGGCCTGGTTATATCTGGTTTCACTCCCAGTTTACCATAAAGAAGATGAGAATGGAAGTGGGGGCCTCAGTGCTTGCAAAGGGGATGAGAAAAAGGCAAAGACAGAGGTGTATCACTTGATTTGCATGCACCCTCTCCAGTATTATAAGGAAAAAAAAACACTAACTATATGGTAACTATGATGAATGAATGTAATTCATTGCATGCTGCAAGCCACAGAAGGAAGAAAAATGTGATCCCAGGCCATGTCAGAGCTTAAAAAAGAGTGATTTCCTCTGGTACTCCTTTTTTGGAGGCAGACTTCCTACAATACCCCTCTGGACCCTATTCCCTAGAATACTCCAAGAGCCAGCCCTAAGCAACCCTAATAAGGAAGGTAGATATAGAAGAAAGAGTTGCACACAAGGGTCCAGTCACATCATGTCCAGTCTGAAATCATATTCTTGTGCATTTATAAGCCCTTACTTATTCAGTGGATACCCTAACATTACAGCTTACAGTATACTCTGGTTCTGCTCACACAGATTGAACCAGACATTAATGTGAATTTTCCCATGGGCTGCACCAAAATGGGCTGTTGCTCCATGAAAAGAAAGGAGTAATAATGGTAGATAAGGATATAATCAACAATTATTGTATATAAAGCATTGTAGAAAAATGTCCATGTGCTGCATGATTCAAAATGCAGCAGGAGCACTGACCAGACCCTTGTGTGCAACTCTTTCCTCTATATTTATTTTCCTTATTAGGATTGCTTAGGGCCGGCTCTTGGAGTATTCTAGGGAATAGGGTCCGGAGGGGTATTGTAGGAAGTCTGCCTCCGAAAAAGGAGTACCGGAGGAAATTACTCGCTTAAAAAAATCTAGTTGGCTCCAGGCACAGCCGCCGGCCAAAGCGGCCAAATGGCCTGAGAGCTTCTAGGGACCATTGCAACACGGCCATATTTCTTACATGCCCGCGTTTTGCCTCCGCTATATATTCCGTGCATATAAGCCGCCAGTGAACTCCCGCTCTTCGTTACTCCTCTCACCTCTTACCTTCCTCGTCGCCTCAAACGATCGTCTCACCGTCCCCGCTCATCCCTTCCATCTCTGTTGTTGACCATCATCATCCCTCTTGCACTCGAACAACGCGCATATATTTACCTTTTCCACGTCTTCCATATCCCCTAACCAATATCCCTTCAACAACACTACCCAAGATGCCTGACATTCGCAACTTCCGCGCTTTTATCACGGTCGATGGCGAGCCCTTGCCAGAGTACAAGCTTGAGTTTGAAAATGAAGGAAATACCGTCCGTTGTTGGATCCCCAGCGAGTATGGCAAGGTGTATATACTCTCCTATTGTTCTGACGCCACCCTAATTTGACTGACCCGGATGCAAATTAGGAATTTTCTGTTCATTGGGTGGATAGGGCGCGCGTCTCCCAGACTGCTGGCTACGTTTACGTCGATGGCGAACACTGCGGTGGTCGCTTCATTCGTCCTCAGGATCGCGATGGCCATGCGTACCTTGACAACCGTCCTCTGGACGATTATACCATGGCGAGCTTCAAGTTCGGCAGCATGGTGCTCACTGGTGAGTCATTGCTCTGCATCCTTTATTGATCACGTGCTGATGCTGACGGCGATCAGACGAGGACCAAGGGGTGGAGGAAGCGCATGTCGTTAAGGAGATCGGCATGATCAGACTGGTGGTCAAGGAAGGTACCATCGGTGATCACTATACCCACAATTACAAAGCCATCGCGCATAAGCCCGTCAATGAACGGATGAAGAAGGTGGGTGGTCACCGCGTCGTACTCGGAGCGCAGAAGAGCGCGCCGCAGACGTGGAAGCACTTCCACCCATTCAAGATCCCGCCCGTTGTGTTCATTTTTCAGTATCGCCCGATGGACCTGCTGAAAGCCATGGATATTGCTAGTATGTGTTGTTGTTCATCGCCGGGCTCCAGTTTGCTGACAGAGATGGAAGCACCTGAACTTGGTCAGGCGCGTGCCGCCACACCTCCTCGCCGTCACACTCCTGCACGGAGCAGTCCTCCCAGGAGAGTCAAGCGAGAGGAACGCCTCTCACCCGCGAGAAGCGAGTCCGAAGTCTCGAGTGTGATCAAAGCCGAACAGGACCCTGACGCCACCCTTGTTTCTGTAAGTTTCCGTTTCTTTGTTTTTGCCTCTTAATCGTCCTAATACCTACCAGCTCAGCACTCCTGTGAGGTCCGCCACCAGCGACAAGCAGCGCGAGCCTCGTTCTGCTGAAGCGAGCTCTTCTCACGGCAAGCGGGGAGAGAAACGCAAAATCGAGGTCATCGATCTCACGCTTTCGGACGATGAAGACGACTCCGCTGCCGCGAGTAGGACCGCCAGAGGCAGCGGTAGCAGTGACACCAGCGACAGGCCCGCCAAAAAGGTCAAGATGGAGCACATAGAGGAGGAGCGCATGCTCGCCTCTATTCCTAAGCGGACCAGGCGCAAGTCGCCGAGCACCATTGAGGTCGTCGACTTGACCGTGTCATGCGGTGCCCGCCCTTCTCCCTCTGCTGTTGCTGTCGTGTTCGCATCAAAGGTCGTACCTGCTGATTAGTCCTGATTATCTGTTCATTTCGATGGACACTCTGAATATCTCCTGTTGATTGCGATATCATGTCATCGGATTACCCGCGCTGTTTTCGTTTCCCGTCTTTTGTACATTTTCTACACGAAATTTCTCTGTATCTTTCCTCTGCTGGTTGTTGACTGTTCATGTAACGTATCTCGAAGCAATAACTCCATCATGTATTGCTGGTCACCTAGTAGTACTAGTAATCGACGTTGAATTCTGGTAATCTGTTCACAACTCTATCTGCCCCACCAAGTCATTGTGCCATCTGTCACGTCGAGCGCTTCCCAAATCTCCCTTGAAGCTCCTTTGCCAGATCCCGCCGCCTACGCTCCTCTTCATCCCCCACGGCGCTCCTCAGCTCCCCAACGACGTCCCTCGTCTTACCAAAGTACACATCCTGAAGCTGGTTCCGCATCTTCAGTTCCATATCCTCGATCATCCGCCCTGTATTAGCAATATGCGTCTGGATGCTGGTGATAGGCAAGTCCTGCTCCTGTTGTCGGGTCATGCTCCCGCTCAGACTGACCACGCCTTCCTCCGAACCAGGGGCGGAGATGGTGAGCATTACCGTGCTCGTGAGCTTGTAGTTTGCCATGCGGCCCTTTTCGAGCGCTTCGAAGACGTGGATCGAGTCCCAGCTGTCGGGGCTTGGCTGGTCAAGCACTAATTCGCAGTTCGCGCGTGAGTTTCGAGATAAGCAAGGGAAAGACAAACACACGTTTCTTGAATAGCACTACACCGGCAAACGCGCCCGGGTCGGTGTCCCAGAGGTAGACACTGCTGATCCCGCCCTCGAAGTACCTAGCTAGCCCCTGCTCAGCGCTGTTCTTGTCCTGCGCACGAAGACGAAGAGGGGAGGGAGACGCACATCTCGCGATAGGTGTCAAACGCTTCGTTGGCGGAGACTTCGAGTTTGCGTAGTTTGACAGAGGGGAAGGTGCCGTCTGGCAGGGGGGGGTCGTATTCATTCGAATGTGGGGAACTGTTGACAGCCCGTGGATAGATGAGCACTGTCCTTTGAACAGTCATAAAGAGGATAGACGCACCGGTGAGAATCACCATCTTTGTTGTAATCGCAGCACAAATATGTCTTCCCCGTCTGCTTGCACGTCGCGATCCTCAGAGGGACATCCACACTGGAGACGAGCTCCTCCGCGTCCTCAGCCGCGAGCTGGACGAGCTTGTCGAGGTTCTGTTGGACGTGCTGTGGTGGCAACCGCCTCATCAGGTCCAGAAGCGCGTCGATGGGAGTCTCTACTTCGAGGGACATCTTGCTTGCCTTTGTTGCCTAGTTGCTCTGGAGGTTGGGTGTTGTATGTTGGCAATAAGGGATCAAGGCGGTGATTGTATGCGCCCCACATACTTCGGAGCCGAGCACAAACTCCGAAGAGACGCGACTGACCAACGCGCTTCTAATTGCCTGGGTCGCTGTTACTTCTGTATTGCCCCTATTCTGACTACTGAGAGCATGACGGCTTCTACTGGCCTCGTGCCCTCCACGCCTCAGCGACGGACGACATTCGCGACAACAGGGACGACGCCCTCTTTTACTGGCGGTCACTATTCTGCCAACAGGCGGCACTCATTGTCCGTCTGCTCTTGACTTGTCTGCTGGGATATGCACTCATACGCGTCTAGATATGGTACGGAGGATCGAATTGTTCTCGACCCTGGGTGCAGGACATGGAGAGTCGGCTTTTCGGGTGAAGGCAGGGCGAGGGACGTCTTTCCTGCACACAAGCCGGCGAGCTACTCGGAACCGAGAGAGAAGGACAGAAGAAGCTTATGGGATTTGGATATGGGAAATACGACGGAGGAGAGGGAGGAAGCGGAACGAGCGTTGTATGAGAGGCTGAAGGATCGATTAAGGAGGACCTTCACACAGTAAGCACTCCATTCTCGTCCCATGACTTGGCTCAAGCCATCGGTAGAACTCTCATGGTGGACCCAAAGAGCAGGAAGGTCATCGTTGCTGAGAATCCGCTCCTTCCGGTCTGTGTCAAGGAGATCATTGCCCGTGTGTTATTCAAGAATCTGCAAGTGCCCAGTGTATCATTCGCCCCATCAGGCTTGTTGGCTCTGCTCGCTGCAGGTCGCACAACTGGGCTGGTGATCGACATTGGTCACCTTGAAACGACCATATTGCCGATATACCAGTCCCGACCGTTATATCCCAAGCTGCAGTCAACACCTTTGGGAGGCGCACGACTCTCATCCCATCTTCGAGACCTGCTACTTCTGTTCGGCGGGTATCATGCCCCTCCAGACCTCAAGGCGCCTGCAAACCAAGCTACGCCCAGCATGGGAAGTGTACCCGAAGAGGTCCTCACAGACGATGTACTGGAAGACATCAAAGTCCGATGTTGTTACGTTGAAGACCCTCTTCCAAAACGCCGACGGCGGCGGGAGGTACCAGAGCCTGCAAACGAAGACGATGAGCTCGATGTGACCATGCTAGATCCTCCCCCAGTTGATACCCCTGCAAACTCCACTTCGCCCTCGCCCGAATCACATCCCACCCCTCTTCACGCTATTCGCACCCTTTACTCTGCCCACACAACCTGTACCGACATCCAATACTCTCTCAAGAACCGCGCCATCCTTTCCATCCCCGGTTGGGTGCGCTCTCGCGCCGCTGAGCTCTTCTTCGCTCCAGGAGACGTTGACGAGGCCTCTCTCCCTGAACTTGTGCTACGATGTCTCTCTTCCCTCAATTCCGACCTGAGAAAAGTCTTTGTCGATCGTATTCTGGTTATTGGTGGTACAGCAGGTGTGCGTGGTCTGATTGCCCGCTTTGAGAGAGAGCTGGAAGGGATGATCTCCGAGCCTACACCGTCTCAAGGTAGGCTCTCGAAACATCCAGAATGGAGCACGGACCCGTGGCGAGCGGTGAGGCACCTGAAAGGCAGGTTCAGGGTGGTGAACAACCCCCAGAGACCGGTGGAGGAGGGGAGAGCTCCAGATTGGTCACCGGGGAGTATCGTCTGGGTTGGAGGGTCGTTAGCTGGGTAAGCTTGTTCCATGTCTTACTCAGTGAGGCGATCATTTAACCGATATTGTACAGCGCTCTGAAGCTCTCAGGTGAAGAGATCTCCCGCGAGCGATACGAAGAAGCAGAAAAGGATGCCCGTCGGGCTGCTGCACTCGCAGCGGCCGGTGCAGCATCCGACGAGAGTGTCGATATGGACGAGGACATGGAGCTGGAGATTGACGAAGATGAAAGTGACGCTTGGAAGAGAGGATATAGGCTTCCAGATTGGACGAGGACTCCGTTGCCGCAGGGTGCACCTATGGCGCCTAGAAGACTTGTGGCTGCTGTCTGACGGAAGGGAGGGCTCCATCGCGGTGCAGGTAATATTCATCATTCTTTGCTATACAGGAACAGTGACAGCGTACACCTAATGACACTAATGATACATCGGAAACATCCATAATTTCATGCGATATGTGATGCTATCTCTCAATAGCAGCATTTGCAATGGGGTTTGCATGGATCGTGACCTAACAGGCAAATCAACAGCTGCCTGAGGGAAGGAAGAGGAAGGCGGACCTTGTTGATGACGATGTCTTTTAACGGCCTGTTCTTCGGGTTCACCGGCACGCGTTCCATCGATTCCAGTGTTTCCAACCCATCGATGACCCGCCCGAATATGGTGTACTTGTTATCCAGGTGACTCTGCTTCCCGTACGTTATGAAGAACTGGGCTTTGTTCGTGTCCGGGCCAGAGTTGGCCATGGCCACTACTCCTCGGTTGTTGAACTAGGTGTTCACAATCAGAATGGAAGGCCAATTACAAATATAGACACTCGCCTTCAGGGTGGACCGGATCTCATCAGCAAACGGTTTCCCCCATATTGACTGGCCGCCTTTCCCTGTTCCAGTCGGGTCACCACCTTGGATCATGAATCCCTTTATGTTCCGGTGGAATATTGTGCCAGTGTATGCACCGCTTGCACATAGCGCGAGGAAGTTCTACGATACGTGTTAGGGAAAGTTATTTAAGGAACACGAATGTGACATACTTCTGCTGCTCGCGGAACAGTCTCACAGAATACCTCGATCTGTCTTTGTCAATATACACATTCGCCCAAGAATTTAGCTGATTAGCTCACCTTAATCTCTCCTAATGATGTATCTAGCATCACAGACTTTTTAAATGTAAGTGATGTTACCGCACCAGAAAAGACGACCTCACTTGCCATTGTAGTTTTCGTGTACACTTGCTCGCCAGTTTGTTCAAGGCGTGACCCAAGACCACGATGAGCGCCTGTTCACACCATTAAACGCACAGCCACAGGGTCTCACGCTCAACACGCGTTCTCGCCACTGACCATCTTTCGTGTTTGTCCTTTAACCACCACAATGCCGTACGTGCATCTGATTTCCAGGCGTGTAACCCGCTGAAATGTATCTTTACTCATAAAAGTATGACAGACGAAGAGCGTGCTAAGCAGGCAGCAAAGGAAGCCAGAGCTGCGGAAAGAGAAGCGCGTGAAGCCGAAGAACTCGCACGTCAGCCCAAGGCAGCGACAGGAATGTGTTTGTTCTCAGCCAGTACTAGCACGCCGGGGCAGCCGGCGTCGGCACCGGCAGCGAACGGAATCCAGCTACCATCCCTACCTGGTGCTGGAGGATCACTGGGAACGACGAACGCTGGACTCGGTCTGCTTGGATCGCAGACCCAGGCGAACCAATCTGCAACACCAAAGCCAACTCTATCCCTTTTCAGTGGAGCACCGGACCCGTTAAACGCGGCTGCAAATACTGCTACTACGCAACCTGCAGCTGGAGGGCTCAGCGTATTGGGGGCCGCGGGAAACGCACAGCGTCCCACTCTCGGCTCTATGCCTGCCCTTGGTCCAACAACACAAAGCAACAACCCCCCTGCCGCTCCTACTGCTCCTACCGCAAATCGCTTTGGCGCGTTCCAATTCCCGAAGCCTGCTGCGACTACATCAACTGCTGGGCAGGCTCCCACATCCATGTTCAATCGAACGACGATGGCGCCCGCCTCTCAGACTCCGTCTCTATTCCCCCAGCCCGCGACCACTCAGCCACAGTCGACCTCACTCTTCGGGGCGCCTGCTGCCACCTCTGCTTTTGGTCAGCGGGCGGCGTCAGGCTCTACATCCTTCTTTGGCCAACTTCAACAGCAACAGCCTCAGCAGACGAGCGTATTCGGGCAACCTTCGGGGGCGTTCGGAGCCAGCACTGGTGGGACGCTTGGTTTGAGCCAGTTGACGCAGAGCATGAGGGCCCCACCACAGCAGCTAGGAACGGCGTGAGTAAACAACATATAATTGAAGAGGTGTACTGATAGGCGTAAAAGCGCACCTCCGCCACTGCAAGCCCAGACTGTCACAAAAGCGGCCAGATATGACGATCTCTCTGAAGCCGACAAGATGGTGGTCAAGGAGATAGAGTGAGTCAGGGTAACAATCCACCAAATTTGTATACTCAAACGAAACGCGTAGCGAGCACATTCGGGCTTGTATGGATGTTGCTAAAGAACTGAAAGCGAGCACTCTCGGGGAAGACATCAACTCTTTGAGCCAGAGTATCAAGAGAGTCCAAATTGTATGCATACATACACTCTACAAGGCTAATTCGGCTGATTCGTCATATGCAGGATGCAACAATAGTCAAAGACAACTATGCTGTAGCAGAAGTGGTCACTCGCCAAGTACAAACGCAAATGGATAGCGATCTAAAAGACGCCACGGCTGCCGTGGGAATCATCGATAAGTTCAACGCAAATCCGAAGCAGCCAGGACATGCGCCATGGCAGTCAGAGTATCCAGTAAAATACTTTGCTCGGACAGAGGCACAGATGCGGAGCAGGCTCCATTCCGCAAAAAACACCATGCAGCAGATTGAGAGCCTTCTACGGGATTCGTACCGTCATGAACAGAGGAGCGCCAAAGGTGAGCCAATATCACCCGGTGATTCAAGCTCACGCCTTCATCAGAAATATCGAATGCGATGGGAAACCAGACCGATGCTCTCCTTGCGCTTGCTGGACAGACAGCAGATTTGGATGCCAAGGCTCAGCAGCTAAAAGGGGACTACACGCGATTGTACAGGGCGAAGACAGGTAGTTCCAGGGACCCTTTTGTGGACGTACCGGGGCGACCGGTTGGTCCTGCATGACCCTGTTTTGGGTCTATCTTGTGTTGTGCCATACTCGCATATGTGATATTCTTGTAAACCTTGACAATGATGTTCAATCTTTGCTTAATGCAATTGTCCATCTGGATATGAGAAGCCTTAGGCTGGGGTCCAACAGCTTGATCGCAGGGTCCGGGACGCCGTCCGTGTCGGGCGCTTCTTGTCTTCTTCGTCGTCGTCTCATGATGCACCTTCTCCGCATAATCCTCGTTATAGACTTCACATTCTCAAGTTCGACCTGAGCTTGTCCCGATTTCTTCCCTTTGGACCTTGGTCAACAGGAGCGTGGAGGAGGAGTCCATCCGTGCACGGCTACCATGCTCGGTAACACCGCTCCCGACGGTTACGGCTGGACTCGAGAGGGGATATTTTACCATTATGGGTCACCTCTTGGCAACTTATGGTGATTTGGCACTTCTGCTGCATCAATGACCTTAGAGGGCCTCCACCCTATTGCTGGCATAATCAGCTAACACCTAATACGAAGACCTTGGCTCGTCCAATCTGTGCTGTCTTATAAGCGCTGACCCCGCCCCTTTTCATGGCATGATCGTCCAGCATGTTGTTCCGAGTCGCTCTGTCCTTGGCGGCGTTAGCAGGCCTCCCCTTAGTTGACGCTGTTGATCCTTTGGTAAAGCTGAACTACATCACTTATCGCGGTGTTGCTCGCTCGACTGGTGTGACAGAGTGGTTGGGGATTCGATACGCGGCTCCACCACTGGGCGAGTTGCGCTGGAGAGCTCCTCAAGCCCCGTTGAATAACGAGACGGTGATTGAGGCTGATACGGTATGCATTGTGTGAAGAGTCATATGGTGTAGCGCTGATAGTATGGCAGCATGGTCTAATTTGCCTGTCTACCCCCGGTACACCGGGAGATCCTACAACCTCCGAGGACTGTCTCTATCTCGACGTCTACGCGCCGAGCAACGCATCATCATCCTCAAAGCTTCCAGTCTACCTGTTTATCCAAGGCGGCGGATTCAATGTCGATTCCAACCCGAACTATAACGGAACTGGCTTGATCCAGGCATCTGAGATGAACATCGTTATCGTCAACTTCAACTATCGCGTTGGTTTGTATGGCTTCCTCGCTAGTCAGGAGGTGGTCGATAATGGAAATACCAACGTTGGCCTGTTGGATCAAAGAATGGTCATGCAGTGGGTTCAGCAGTATATCTCACAAGTAAGGTCCCATGACATCACCGACAGCACTGCTCATGTGTTTGCCACAACAGTTTGGAGGCGATCCCGAACATGTCGTTCTTGGGGGAGATAGCGCTGGTGGTGCTTCCATTCTCCTACATCTGACCGCTTACGGCGGTCGGGATGATGGTCTCTTCCAGGCGGCAGCAGCCGAGTCTGCAACTTTCGGCAATATGCTCACTATTTCACAATCCCAATATCAGTATGACGCCATTATCGAGCGAGTTGGATGTGGATACGAGGTAGTCGAGGACACGCTTGGCTGCCTCAGATCTCTTAATGTGTCCTATCTTCAAGCAAACAACTACAACGTCCCTTATCCGAATTTGGGAGCTGGCGCCAGCGCTCCTATTTATATGTATCAGCCGACCATCGACGGCGGATTGATCACGGACTACAGCTATCGCCTTCTACAACAGGGTCACTTCATCAAGGTTCCTGTCATCTTCGGGTGAGTATGCCAACAACCATCCTCGATGAGTACTGATTAATCCCGCAGAGACGACACCAACGGTGGCACAATCTTCACCCCGAAAAACACGTCTTCCTACCAAGAGATGGACCAGTTCTTGAATGATCAATTCAGCGCCATGACGGCCAATCAACTGCTCATCATGAACGCTATGTATCCTCCGGCAGAGACATATCCAGATTCGGGCCCGTTCTGGAGGACAGTCAGCAATGCTTACGGGGAAATGAGGTTTATGTGTCCTAGCCAGGCGGTTGGTAGTGCATACAACCAGTTTAGTGCCGCTGGGGCATGGATTTACAGGTACGATCAGTTCACCCAGCGACGTCCACCTGACATCTGCTGACTGAGACTCGCAGCTATAACGTCATGGATCCACTCGAAATGGAAGGGGGTTACGGCGTACCACATACAATCGAGATCAATGCCATCTGGGGCCCATATAACGTCGCTCCCGGTTCCGCACCAGCATCGTACTATCCGGGTCAATCAAACGCCGCGATCATTCCAATCATCCAGGGGTACTGGACGAGCTTCATACGTACCTATAATCCGAACATCTATCGCCTTGCCGGGTCGCCAGAATGGGTTCAGTGGAACGCATGGGCGAAAGACAGACTCCTCTTCCAGACGAATGCTACAGCTATGGAGATTGTTGATTACGGACAGCAGGCGAGGTGTGCGTATTTGCAGTCCATAGGCGTTTTGACGCAACAGTGATAATGTGATCTGTGATCGTGTATGTGATATCGCATTTAAGAATATCTGAGATCCGAAGTGTAAAAAGGTGATGTTTGTTATACCAGATCCACCACAAGCTTGTCCAGGAGGATTGTGGGTTTTATACACGTTGCTGGTCCAAAGATGAACTCCAGTCTACGGGGCTAATAGACTAATATGAGGAAGCCATGAACGGCTCAGACGATGATGAAACTGCGTTGGCCGCAACTGAGCCTCTCGTCACTATGACAGTTGCACTCTATCATGTGAG